AAACTTCTTTCAGCTGAAAGAGCTGTCACAGGATACAAAGATCCCTACAGTGGAAAAATCATAGCACTTTTCCAGGCCATGAAAAAGGATCTCGTTCCAGAGGATTATGCTCTCAAAATGTTGGAGGCACAAACTGCCACTGGTGGTATTATTGATCCTGAATTCCAGTTCCACCTGCCAACAGATGTCGCTATGCAAAGAGGCTATATCAACAAGGAAACCAATGAGAAACTGAATGATGATGTGAAAGGATTCATTGATCCTGTCACTGATGAGAAACTGTCTTATGCACAGCTACTCAAACGATGCAAGTTGGATGGTGGATTGCGCCTGCTTTCATTGGGAGACCAGCGGCTGACATTCAAGGGTCTGAGAAAACAAATCACAATTGAGGAGTTGATTCGCTCACAAATCATTGATCAGCAGACCGTCACTGACCTGAATGAAGGTCTTGTTTCAGTAGAGGAGATTAGTAATAGGCTATCAAGGTACCTGCAGGGCACAGGCTGTATTGCTGGTGTATTTTTGGAGTCCACAAAGGAACGGCTGTCAATTTACCAGGCTATGAAGAAGAACATGATTAGGCCAGGCACTGCATTTGAACTCCTTGAGTCCCAGGCAGCCACAGGATATGTTATCGATCCAATCAAAAACCTCAAACTGACTGTTAATGAAGCAGTAAAGATGGGAATAGTAGGCCCAGAATTCAAAGACAAGCTTCTCTCTGCTGAGCGTGCAGTAACAGGATATAGAGATCCTTATACAGGCAAGACAATCTCTTTGTTCCAGGCTATGAAGAAAGGGCTTATCCTAAAAGATCATGGTATCCGTCTACTCGAAGCTCAGATTGCCACTGGCGGAATAATTGACCCGGAGGAAAGTCACCGTCTGCCAGTTGAGGTGGCTTACAATCGTGGCTTCTTCGATGAGGAAATGAATGAGATACTGACAGATCCATCTGATGATACCAAAGGCTTTTTTGATCCCAACACTGAGGAAAACCTAACCTACCTCCAGCTGATGGAGAGGTGTATCACTGATCCTGACACCGGCCTGGTGCTTCTGCTACTCAAAGAGAAGAAACGGGAAAGAAAGACCTCTTCCAAATCCTCAGTACGTAAACGCAGAGTTGTCATTGTAGATCCAGAGACTGGCAAAGAAATGACTGTGTATGAGGCCTACCGCAAGGGGCTCATTGACCACCAAACCTACCTGGAGCTTGCTGAGCAGGAGTGTGAATGGGAAGAAATCACAATGACTTCTTCTGATGGCACTGTAAAATCCGTCATTATTGACAGGAAGTCAGGAAGACAGTATGATGTTGATGACGCTATTGCACGTGGCTTTATTGACCAGAAGGCTCTTGAAACATACCGAGCTGGAAACCTGTCCATCACAGAGTTTGCTGACTTGCTTTCTGGAAACATGGGAGGCTTCCGTTCACGATCATCCTCATTTGGTTCTACCACTGGTTCCACTTACTCCTCTTCAATGAGCCCCCTACCATCAATTAAACCACCTGCAGTCATATGGAATGACCCAACAGAGGAGACTGGCCCTGTAGCAGGAATATTAGACATAGACACATTGGAAAAAGTGTCTGTCACTGAGGCAATCCACAGAAATCTGGTAGATAACATCACTGGTCAAAGACTGTTGGAGGCCCAGGCATGTACAGGTGGAATAATTGACCCCACAAGTGGAGAGAGATACTCAATTGCAGAGGCCACAGAAAAAGGTCTTGTGGACAAAATCATGGTTGATCGTCTGAACCTGGCTCAAAAAGCATTCAATGGATTTGAAGACCCCAGAACTAAAGTAAAGATGTCTGCCTCCCAGGCGTTGAAAAAGGGCTGGCTGTATTATGAGGCTGGTCAGCGTTTCCTTGAGGTCCAATATCTAACTGGTGGACTCATTGAGCCTGATGTTGAGGGCAGGGTGTCAATAGATGAATCCATTAGGAAGGGTACGATCGATGCTCGCACTGCCCAGAAACTGAGGGATGTCGGTGCCTATTCTAAATATCTGACCTGCCCAAAAACCAAACTGAAAATCTCCTTCAAAGATGCCATGGACAAAAGTATGGTTGAGGAAGGCTCCGGCTTAAGGCTTCTGGAAGCCTCTTCCCAGTCTAGCAAAGGCCTCTACAGTCCCTACAATGCTAGTGGCTCTGGATCGGCTTATGGCTCCCGGAGTGGCTCAAGAACCGGATCCCGATCAGGCTCCAGGAGAGGCAGTATTGATGCTGGCTCTGGCTTTAGCATGAACTTCTCATCTTCCTCCTTTACATCTTCTTCTGGCTACAGCCGCAGATTCTAGATTTTATAGATTGACTAGAAACCAGCAGTACTAATGCACTTTACAGTTGCATTTCTAACAGGAAATAAATAGTTAAAGTAACAGAAAATATAATTTATTTGTTCTTCCCTGCATGTGGCCAAAACAAGAATTGTCTAGGTTATTACTTTTTCACATAACATCAGTCTAAACATGCGCTCTAGATGTAGAAACATAACCAGGCATTGCAAAATATATAAAATATTCATATCTTCTGGTACAGATGACAAAGTGAGTTTATATTTTTCAAAGCAAAGCATGCCTTTTCTGCTGTTTGAGTTTATAGTTTTTATATAACACAATTCAAAAGATGTATACTTTATACTTTCTGAAACTAATATATACTTCCTGTATATCAAACAGAAATATTTCTTGAATATTTCATGTTTCCTTAGAAATTTTGTTTATTTTTTATCTTTTTCAACAGTACTGGTAAAGAGATACCAAATGTTAACATAATTCTAATGTTTTTAACTAAAATATTTGGATGCATTTAAAATTCCTGAATGTTTGTAAAGAGTATGCACAGAGTATGTGTTAATTTTTTAATGTTACAAATTGTCTGGGTTACTGCATTATGCACCCAGTAACTTGCAGCACAGAATACATCTGCGACACTACAAAGAGACACTATAGGAATGCAACAAGTTCCACAATTAAATCCATGTACACTGTTCTGAAATCAGTTTTAGATCTGTCATTACCTTGCTTTTACACCCATTTATATTCAGTATGTGTTTTCATCTTTTGAGTTAACTGCACCATTGTTTTACACACTGCTCATAACCATCATCACTCAAGTGCTCCCACTAAATCCCAAGATGATGTCAGACTCGATCCCGATCCCCTCCACAGACCTGCTCCTGTTATTTTGATTCTTGTAAGTTGAATTTATTATTTCTATTTGTTTTTCTTTCGTTGCCCATTTTCTTCTGTTTGTTTTGATCACAACTAACAGCCAGTCCCAAACACTGCCTTTGGTGTCATTTCAACTTTCTCTGTTTATTCTCATTATTGTTGTTTTTCACCATCTTCCTTGTTTTTTCACAGCTGCCTCAGTCACTCAGAATCCAACATCTGGTCACATGTACTCAACTGGCTGGAGAATACGATCTTCTAACCTTGGATGGATCTGTGAGTCCATGCCAGCCTCATGCTGTAACACAGGTACAGAGCATAATTGCATCATTGTTTTTCAAAGATTAAGCTTTGTTTCATCAAGATTTGTTTTGCAGTATTCATTTCATTGCTTTCTTTTTAATTTCTCGCTGCATTGTTTGGTTTATTTTGATTACATCGTTTTTTTCCTTTTGCTTCTAGATACCATTGAGTATGTCCTTTCTTCCATTGTACATCACTGTTGAAGGAAGCTGAGGCTGAGTCAACATCATCTTGGGAAGCCTTTCTAGGAACACTTCATTTATTACCATTTGCCATGTATTTATTACTTGAATGCTAATACTGATATTTATGTTATATCCTGGCATTTTTAGAGAAAAGCCACTCAGAATAAAAACATTTATGTGTACATTTCAATCGAGACAATACATCAAGACTTTTTTTTGCTATTCCTGACTACATATCCAGTTCAACTGAAGTACCTATGAAAGTAATTTAGAGAACTGAGATATTGATTCAGCACCACATTGCATGAATTTATGTTTTTTCAAATTAATTCCTTTCTTTTGCTTTTTTTTTGCTGCAAATTTCCTTTTTTGCAGATTCAAAGACAGCACAAAGAATAATTGTGCTTAGTTATTTTCTCAAATGACCTATTTCTGTTATGCATCTTTAAAGTTTTACTGCTGTAAATCTTTTTGTTTTCATGATGGTTTTGATATTATGAATGTCTTGCATGTTTTACTAACTTTTTAAAGGATATTGGGGGGGAAAATGTTGGTGTAAAATAAAAGCAACTTCAGTAAGTGTTAAGTGTGCCAATTTAAGTTTCAGCAATATATAAAACGACAAACTAACTGGTTGGATTTTGTTATGGGGCAGATGTTGCTTCAGCGACATGGCGAAAAAACCTCTTGTATGTGAACTTAACACTATGTTGTAAATAAACATGCTCTGAAGAAGCATTCTTGTCATTTGTATATCAGTACCCAGTTTTTTAAGAGTACTTTTTCACTGCTTCTGCCTCAGTTTACATTAATATAAATACTACGTTAATATTTGATTAAATAAGTATGTATTCTATATAGAACAATTGCTTTAATACGCCTGTAGATGTGATATAATACTATTACCTATGTGATATGATACTATTACCTGAAAGAAGTACCTTATCACTGATAGGAGAGAAGAAAATAAATAAATAACAGTCAACCACATGAGGGCAGTGTTAGACAGACCTACTTTCTGCAAGGAAGCAGCTCAGTCAGGTGAAAGCGCCACAGGTCCAACTCCTGCTCTGCCCTAAACCCACTGTTTATTCTGTTTATCAGATAAGTGAGTTTCTGTCATTAGGCATTTCATGACAAATTACAGTCAATTTTCTATACAATTTCTATTTTTCTAGCTTTTCATAAATCAGAGTGAAAAGACCCCGGGTATGAATTCAGGGTATGCATGTTTGTTTACACCCAAAGTCCTTCACACTACATGCATACAGATGTTTGCTCTGTGTGCCAACATTAGCCAGTGGGTTTGATGGAAGAGCCTGCCAACAGAAGCTCCGGGGCATTCACCACCCTGAATTCTTCACTTAGCTCCCTTGACTACTCTGAATTGACCCCTTCTCTCCCAACTCTCCCTGCGTTTGATGAGCGGGAGGTAAGCACACAGAGAGAAATAAAACCCACTGTATACAGAATGCTATAAAATAATGAATTGCTCCATTAACAGTCTCAGCTAAAGCAGAGAGACTGGAACAGGGATCATTTTGTATATTTTACCCACTGGTTTCTTGCAGGATAAAGGCTGCTACTTGTTTGGATCACCAGGAGCTACTTCACAGGATCAGAGCTATGGGTATGCTACTGTAAACGAATTTAAAAGCAAAAGGAATGAATGAAATACTCTGGACCACAACAGATAACAATCTAGGCACATTAAAAGAAAAAAGAATGACTGCCAGATTGACAGCGGCCACCAACAGCCTGTGACAACAGTCATTTGTAGCAGCTTTGTGGACCAGTGCATTTCCATTTGTCACAGACACAAAGACAGGGTCTTGAATTGTGTAGTAAGCACAAAGTGTAAAGCATCTGATTGGAACATAGTTAAACAAGAAAACCAAAGTTCCAGCCCAGCAGACAGAGAGAGCACATGCCTTCCTAATGATCTATTTTGGAAAGTTTTTAAACCAAGAAATCCTGATACTATGTCTGTGTAGCTGTAATTTCATTATAATAACAGTAACACATAAGTAGCAATAAAATGATGAGCCACAAACAGCAGTGTATTGTGTCATTATCAGGATATAGCAAAATGAATACTGTTATTAGCATGAAAAAGTATAACCAACCAAGACAGGCCATCAGTTCACACACACCAGTAAAAGTAGTCATAAAACTGCAAAAAAAAGAAAAAAAAAAGATCTGGCAGGTCTGTATATGAATATTTAAATATTACCAATGAATAACTGTATTTACTTATGAATATTAATGATGTTAGCTGTTTGAGTGCCGTGTTTGCAATCATTTAGTTCATTTAGTACAATCCTTATGTGCATGATTCTAAATTACAGTGGTAATAGTATTTGACTAAAATGTGATCAATGCAACGTTTTCTCCTGTTCTTCTCTGATTCAGCAGGGAAATAGAGGACATGAGCCAATGGCAGTGTGAATTCAGGGGTCAAATCAGAGCACTGAGACTGTGGCTCAAGAGCATGGAGATGAGGCTACCTCCTCTGGACCCCAGGGTCAGTTTGCCTTACTGTGTGTGTGTGTGTCTGCTTGCATGCTGTTGCCTGCATTCTAAAGTTCATCGTATGACACGGGCTGGTGAAAAAATGCACCTCTGCGTATGTTTATACTGTGTTAATATCCCAGTGAGTTGAACACTGTGATGCTCATTAGATGCCACTGGTATCTCACAGATAGTGAAGCAAGTAGGTTCACTTCTGGGAGCTCTGTGCTGAGCACCAAAAGTGTGTAACTGCACAATAGCAGTTAAATGTAATGTATAGTGACTATTTGCAGGTCTGAAGGACACCTTGTATGTAACTTTGAGACATCAGTGACAAAAGAGCAGTATTTGATTTCCAGGGAAGAAGAAAAAAAGAGGTGTTTGGCACTTTTATAAAGGGGAAAAAATAGTATATTTAATTAATTGATGTTGTTATTAAAATCTGTAGCATCTTTGAGCTTCCTGCCAAGCAAGTCTACATAATTAAAATCCATCTGTCGTGCCTCTGCTTCCTTTTCTCTCTCCCTGACTCCCTGTTTATGCCAGCTACAGTACTTTTACAAAAATATGTTTTGGATTCCATTTTTAATCACACATGAAAACAATTCAGCAATGCTACTTTATTATCAGGTCACAAGATTAGAATAAAAAAAAATCTACTCGCATTCTACTTTTATTTATTAGTTCAGTGCAGTTTGAGCTGCACTAATCTCTCCCTGCTAAATGATTGCTATGACAATGCTAATGTTTAGCAATTATGCTTACGAAGGGTATTGTAATTTTGTTAGCATATTATCATGCACATGAACAAGAAATACAAGGTGAGGACTTTTATTTCATTGCTCAAGAAGAGAAACCCGTGGAAGTAAAATAAATTAATCTTTTGTCCTGCCTCCTTCTCGGCACCCCCAACCAATCACGGCAGACGGCTGCCCCTCCCTGAGCCTGGTTCTGCAGGAGGTTTCCTCCTGTTAAAACTGTTAAAAGGGGTTTTTCCTCCTCACTGTCGCCAAGTGCTTGCTCTTAGAGGGTCATTTGATTGTTGGGGTTTTCTCTGTTTTATTCTATGGTTTTTACTTTACAATATAAAGCACCTTGTGCTATATAAATATAATTGTATTAGATTAATAAATAAAATAAAAAAATTATAATAATTAATAAATTGAAGTTGTAGAGGCCGGCAACTACGTGAGTAGGCAGAAAATGAGAGATTCAGTTCTGTCCATACTTACACAAGCAATCAACTCCCCCCAAGGTCAGAGAGACACTCCCATGCATGAACATCATTTTTATTGTTTATCACTATCAATTGTGTTGTCACTCAATGTTGTGCCCTTTTCCCTCATTATTGTCTATCACTCTCATGTAATGTCACTCTGTCTTTATGTCTTCTACTTCAGCTGCTCAATTTCCTAATGGAGATTAGGCTCCGTTTTAACAATAGTATACTGGATCCTGTAAACGATGTGGAGACTAAGAGAGCAAAGAAATCAAAGGGAAGCTAAACCAATGACTCATGCAAGTCACTATACTGAGACCTTTGAGTGTACTGAAAGAGAGGAGCAGGAGTGTGGAAGTTTGTCAAAATACTCAGAGGGCCACTGAGGTGGTCCTCGTCCCCTCCTGCAGAGAGACTTCTTTAGACCACAGGAGGACAGAGGGGCTGGGGAATCAGACCCTATTGTGCCTGGCCTGGACAACCAGGCTAGAGAAGTGCTTGGCACTGGAGGCCCTCTGCACACATGAGCGAACACATTGAAAAGACATCAGACTCAGATGGGAGGAAGAGGCAAGGGGGCAGGAAAAAAAAGAAAAGAAAGGAAAGCAGGATTTTTACGGTAAAAGCATTCAGATCTAACTAAGTGGGCATTTACTGAACACAATTAGATTTAGTCATACAACCAAATTTTTTACAAATATTTATAAATGCAACTTGTCGCAACCGAACCCAGTTACAGTTAGCCAGTTACAACCAGGCTTACTAACTGGGTTACTGGTGATTGAGAAAATTGCAAGATAATAATCAAAAAACCAAACAAGTATTAGAAAAATGCAGGTCATAGTGGAATGCCATTTTGCTCTTCAAATGTTGGACTCTCTCTTGCTTTTATCGATAAATGTTAATGCTATTAAAATGTAAGGGTTTCCTTTCAGTCGAGCTGCCCAAGTTTGTCATGTTTCCATCAACTGTTACTTTTTAGTCAAATTAGTTCAGTTTTATACAACTATAAGAGACCATGTATGGCTAAACTCTAAATGTGAATCTAAATTTGCTAATTTACTATTTCTGCTCGTCTCACAGCATTTTGTGCTTTATTATCACTTAAATAATTAATTCAGCTTTGAATAAAGGAACATTTTCATTTTGGTTACCCTATTGTCCAGTAAATGAAAGCTATCCCTGCTCATAACATTAACATATTACGACTCTGTGGGGTACAAGGAAGGCACGGTAATATTCCATGTGATTATTCCTAGTGAGGGGTGACTGCACCTTTTCAATCATCTGTGAATCGGTTGCACACAAGGATTAAGAGGTGTTTGATTTGATTGATTTAGTCTGGGCATGGGTTTCACAGTCCTGACTGAATTTTCAAGGCATTGATTAACTGAAAAGGAACAGAATAAACCTGTACGTATATCTTTTGTTTTTTAAAACAGAAGCTCTTTTTAGTTATTCATTCTTCAGACATTTTACATTTTGTGTCTGAAAGCGACTACCGTTTCCTTGGGGACCAACGTTAAAGATACGGCGCCACATCTTATCGCATAGCTGGAAGCTTTTCGTTAGCTTCATAGCATAAGTGCCTAAGTCATTTTTTGGTCAAATTGAGATTTTTGCCTAACTTTACTCCCCTACCACTGCTGCATCATCCTGTCCGTCTGCCTATGTCATCACAAAAAAATGACTTAGGCACTTATGATATGAAGCTAACGTTTTGGTGAGCTTCAGCCTTTTTTATTTTTCATACTTCCAATGGCTGAGACATAGCTTGCATTATTTATATTAATGTAGAGCATGAATTTTATACATATCTGGATTTAAAATGATTAAAAATAAACAAATAGCATTTGAAATACAAAAACACAAACATTACTTTAGGAAATATTACAGATCAGAAAAAGGAAAAAACATATAAAGACATCCCGTGTACGCTTCACAATCTGCAGAGCAGACATCAAGAGTTACTGGCCGTCCATGACAAAGTACAACAAACAAAAAATGACAAGGAAAAGAAAGTTTGAGAAGGAAAATATGAGGAACTGGAAGAAAAGCATGAGGAAAAGCAATAAAAATTAGAAAAACTGGAGAAAAAGTGTAAAAACCTTGAGGTGCAGCATGAAGAGCTTTTCCAAGAGATGACAAAGCTCACAGCACAGAACAAAGATCTGCAGGAAGTGTGCCTGAAAAAGAAGAAAAAGCACTTCAAGTTTTTCCAGAAGAAAGACTCTGTTGCTTCTACAATTCAGCTGGACAAGAGTTGCCCAACAGGGGCAAATCATACAATAAATGACGCAAATAAATTCACGGTGCTTCAGCGTCTTATTCAATCTCAGTGTTGTTTAGAAAACCCAAAGACACAAGAAAGAAGCATCATTCAGATTAGCCGCATATTAACTTAAAATCTGATGCAGCCGTCCAACACAATCTCAGTCTCCATGTCTTCTCTAGGGAAAATAATTATTTAATCTTCAAAAGGAAACATAGTGAAGCTTTAGTCTGAACCCCAGCGAGAGAAATAAATAAAGGAGTGAAATAAAGGAGTGTCTTTTATCTGTACCATTCCTTTATCATACTGCATCCGACCACAGACCTTTGTCATGGTAATGCTGTTAGTCTGCTGCACTGCTGGTTCCAGTCTGGCCTGAGGGACTTGTTAGTTAGCAGCATGAATAAGGACATCCCTTGGCATCCCCTCCGCCACAATACAGACCCTTCTCCAAAGCAGAGGAGAGAGTTACACACCTGCTCCTTAACACAAAACAAGCAATGAAGCATCTTACTCTGTTTTCCCATGAACTCTCAATTACGCCTTAAGCTTTAAATTGGACACTGTAAATTATGAATGTGATAAAAATCTAAATGGAATTTGTGCATCTGTTTCTTGCAGTCCAGAGAAACCTGAACATAGTTGGTAGTAGTATTTTGGCAGTCGTAACAAGTTATTTGCTAACATTGCAATAATGCTGATGCCATGATCAGGCTGTGTGCAGGCAGGATGAGGACCCAAACGCAAACTCACAGAAAAAAACAGGACTGAACTCAAAATACAGCTTTATTTCTGACAAAAGATAACGGCGATACAAAATAATATGAAACTGAACTGGGAAGTACTAAGGAACTGACTTACAAGGAAA